CAAGGTTATTGTCCTCATTTTGCAGTTGAGAAAATAGGGACAGAGGGTTAAGCAACTCGCCCAAGACTGCACATCAAAGCAGGGGTAGAATTGGCATTAAAAATCATTTTCCTGGAATCTTGGCCCAGTGCTTTCTTTAAAAAGAATTATGGAAGTTTCAAGCAAACAGAAAGAACAAATCATGAATAACAGACACTTGGGAACCCATTACTTAGTCTCATAATTTTTGCAAGAAACAAATATTTATAGATAATGTGAAAGCTCCCTTTGTACCCCTCCAGGTTCCCACACCTGACCCTCTCCTTCTGTGAGAAAATCAATACCCTGAATTTGATGTTTTACATGCTCATATACATTTTTACTCTATATGTATATATCCATAAAAATATGGTACAGTTTTACATACTTAAACATATATTATTGTTGTTACCTTATATGAATTCTCCCACAATTTGCATTTTTGTTCAACATAATTTTGTAATATATTCATGCTGACACATATAGCACTTGTTTATTCATTTTACACATTGTATGATATTGCATTGCATGAATATATAACAATTTATCCATTATCTTTATGAACATTTAAAAGGGATTTTGCTGTTTAATATTATAAACAATAATGCGATGAACATTATTGTAACTTTTACCACTGATTACTTTCTTGAACCACATTTGAAAAAAAAGAATACTCTTATGGAGATATGAATACAAATTCAATTGCCCCATCTAAATTTGATGTTAGAGTAATGCTGGAGTAAGTAGCAAAAACAAAACTTACTGGTTATATTTATACTTGAGGAGACACAATCTAAGCCTAAAACCAATACATGTTGTGTGTATACCATGGTTTTCAGTTGATATATCAGGATCTATCCTTACATCTTGACACCTCACCTGTTAACACATCATTACTAATTATTCCCCTTTTCTGAACCAGACCTGAATGTCTGTGGCCTGCAGTGTTGGTTTGACAGGGATGGGCTCTGAATAAAGCAAGAAATAGAAGTAGTGGCCTGAAAATTTAAACATCAAAATGACTTCCTTTTAAGAATCATGCCATGGGAGAAGGTGTGAAATTTTTAGGAGACATCTTTTCTGTCTATTCTAAAGCACCATCTTGATTGGGTGGGAATGGGCAAAGGATGCCCCATGGCTTTATTTACATTTAGCAGCCTTATAGTTTATTTAGAATAGCTTACTAAAAATTTTTTCTAAGTCAACGATGAAACTAAATAATTTTGATAAATCATTAAGCTTCGTTCTGGAGTCCCAGCATTCTAAAGGAGTTGGTCTGTTGTGTTAATAACAGAGCTATTTTTCAGAACCATTAGTTGAGAAGACACCAACACAAATTTGGAAGAAATTACTGAGCAAGAGTTGGGAGAGGAGGTGTTAGGCTTGACTCTTCCTCTGACTATAAACCTTGTGAAACGGTCGCTTAGGCATCTTGGACATGGAGTTGTTCAAAATCAGTGCTTTGCAATTTTTTAGGCTGATCCTCAGGATTGTTAAATAAATTTGGTGTGTTGAGACCAGAAATTTTTTAAGGAATATGAAATAGAACAAAAAACATTTAGTGCATAATGTATACACTAACGATAAATATTATTTTATAAAATTTTTGTTTCAGAGGGAGGTGTGAGTGTGTGAGTACTGTAGGATGTTGTGTACTTTTTTCTTTTCTTAAATTAAGGTATATTTGACAATTAAAGATTGTATATATTTAAGGTATACAATTTGATGATTTAATATACATATATTATGAAATGATCACCATAATCAAACTAATTAATATATCCACCAACTCAGATAGTTATCGCTTTCTTTGTGTGTACTTGTGGTGAGAACACTTATGATCTACCCTCTTAGAAAATTTCAGATGTACAATAAAGTATTGTTAATTATAGTCACATTGTTGTACATTACCTCTCCAAATCTGTTCATCCTGCATTAAACTTTTTATTCTGTATTGCTTTTAGAACGTTTGAAAGCCATTTGTACAAGCTAACATTAGGAAGAAGCTCAGGGATCTTACAGATATGGTCAACTCCATTTAAAACTCACCAGTTTTTCCCATTTTGCCCTGATTGCCCACCATAGCAGATCAGACCCTTCGTGAATCCTGCCCCGGGACTATCCACTCCCAGGATGTTGTGAGCTGCACATTCCCTGTTTCAGTAGTACGCCTCCTGTCTCCATGCTGCTGCTGTTTTCTCCTTAGTCTCAAATGCTCAGTAGCCACAAAGCATTAACTTTGCTAGATGCCCTTCCACACCCGCCTAGTCTTACAGAATTGTCCATTCCTTCCCTTGAACCCGTGTCTTTACTGGATTGTGTCATAGTCCACAGTACAGTTTTTTGCACTTAATAGTTTCAATATCTATCCCACCCTACTAGACTGTGGAAATTTTGAAATTGGGTCTTTATATGATATCATAATAATTTAGGTTCTTTCTTTTTCTCATACATGCATTCTGTTCTCCATTGCTCTTAAAATAACTTTATTGTTTAAAAGCAATACATGCTCATTCTAAGTGATATAAAAAGGTATTTGAAAAATTACACCAAATCCTACATCCTAAAGATGACCACTGTTAATATCTAAACCAATATCTTGCTCTGCCTCTATACCTATACAGAGAGAGGTCAACATATACACAGGTGTACACACACACATACACGTGCTCACACAAAATGTTATATGAATACATTCATTAACAAGACCAATTTTTCCTTTCAACAATGTCAAGGACACTTTCTGTGTCAGTGATATACCTGCACATAATTTTAATGGCTGCTTATAATTCTAATTTATGGATTACCCTGGGTTTGTTTGGGTTGCCATTTATCAACATTAAAAGCAGTGATGGTGGACTTGACTTCTTATTCTTTGTATGCCATGACTATAAATTAAAGAGCACCATTATTGTCCTCACCTTCTTTGATTAGCCACAGAGTCCTGAGCTGGTTTTAAAACTCCCTTTATGGCATTCTGCATTCAGCCTTCTTCTCTTTACCTGTGGACTGTGTCATGTTAAAATTCCTGTACGTTAAAGAGTCTTCTACCCAGAAATGTGATAGTTTTATCAAACTTTCTCTTCCTTGTGTGAATCATCTGTAGTTACAAAGTAAGGATTTCGCTTTTGACAGCTTTCCCTTTTAGGAACTGAGACAGTGGAGTTAGGCATACATTTTATATGGATATTTTGAATCTCACCTCCCTAACATAGGGTATATATCTGAATTGCACCCAACCTTCCTCTAGTCTGTGGTCATAAAATCCAAGATGATGTATGATTATTTTCAATGGAAGTTTCCACTTTACCAACAACTTCTGCTCTTTGATAGATAGAGTGCATTGGGATATTTCCTTTCTTTTCTGGAGCTAACATCAAGAACTACTCAGATACATTATTTTGCTAAGATGAAACATCTGGTACAAATTTGGAAAGCATAAAGCCTCATTACTACTAAAGCTCATTTGTGTCAGTTTTTTGTGATCCGAGTCAGGAATATGTCATCTATTTCTTCAGTGTACTGGGTATATACTTAAGAATAGTCTGTGGTTCTTATTTATTTTCTCCTCTTTTTAAATGACTTCTCCTCTTTTTAAACCTTAGTTTAAAGCTTCAGTTTGAGCCTAAGTAAAAGCTCTCAGGAATTCATCATCATTTTGTGGATTTACATTAGAATGTATTTTCATACTATATAGCACTAACTCAACCACTCAGGACACCGTTTTGTTTCTGTCACTATATTCTAACCTTTAATCCCATCTCACGAAGTCTCAGGAACATTTGTGTCATAATATGCGTTGCCTCGGGTTTAATATAAAATGTACGCTATTTATTACCCATGCTTTAGATGTTAGTATGTAGATACTTGAGCAACCAGTGCTCCCAACCCATTTATCTCATTGCCTCATATTGTTCCTCTTTCCATGTCTTACCTGTGCTCCTCAGTGGTTCTCAACCAGGGTAGATTTTTTCATCAGGGGACATTTGGCAATGTCTGAAGTCATTTTTTATTGTCACAGTGGGAAAGATGCTACTGACATGTAAACGGTAGAGGTCAGGATTGCTGCTAAACGTCCTGTAATGCACAGTGTAGCTCTCCCACCCCTCCCCCCCAACAAAATGTTAAATGATTCAAAACGTCAGTAATGCTGAGGTTGAAGAAACTTGCTGTATGAAAACTGACTTCATGTTTTTTTTATTCAAACTTTCATATTTCTCCCTTCGCCCCCAAGATGTTCCATTTAATATATTCCCTTGATTCAGACTAGCTACTCAGTGAAAAAAAAACGGAAGGTTCGGCTGGGCGCGGTGGCTCACGCCTGTAATCCTAGCTCTCTGGGAGGCCGAGGCTGGCGGATTGTTTGAGCTCAGGAGTTCGAAACCAGCCTGAGCAAGAGCGAGACCTCGTCTCTACTAAAAATAGAAAGAAATTGGCCAAACAACTAAAAATAGAAAAAATTAGCCGGACATGGTGGCGCATGCCTGTAGTCCCAGCTACTCGGGAGGCTGAGGCAGGAGGATTGCTTGAGCCCAGGAGTTTGAGGTTGCTGTGAGCTAGGCTGACGCCACGGCACTCTAGCCCAGGCAACACAGTGAGACTCTGTCTCAAAAAAAAAAAAAAAAAAATGGAGGGTTCTATCTCGTGACATCTATGTCTTATGCTTTGGTTAATGTGAGGAAGCAGCCATCATCTTCATCAAAAATGTTTCCCTTGCTGGTAAAATAGTACTGTATGACCAATTGACATCGCCACCATTATATAGAATAGGGAATGGGGGGAATTTAAGCATATTTCCAAGTAAAGAATAAAATTAGAGGGATTAACGAGTATGGTTATCCTCAGATATTCTATGCTCCAAATGACAGTTGTTGTTATAAAAGTTGCATTTGCAAATACATTGAAGAAAACTCCATGGGCAGTTTAATGCTAACATTATTTCATTTTTTTTCTCCTTCCTTTTCCTTTTTTGTTCCCTTCAGACATTTCACATTTTCAAGAACAAAATGATTTAAAAGGATTACTAGAAAATCTCCATCAAAATATCCAAGCCAAAAAAAGAAAGAATGTGGAAATTATGTGGCTGGCTGCAACGGTGAGCACTCTCATGTCAAATCTTACTTCCTGCCGCATCGTGACCAGCAGGCATCATCAGCTCTCCGCCCTGCAGGGTCCAACCTCTGCATTTCGGGTTACCAAGTGTCATCCTCCATTACCCAGGGGATTAGGCATTTTCACTCTTGTTGGTAGCTCTGTCAATAGACCAGAACATAAGATGGAAGGAGGTGCAGTCAATAAGAAAAGGTCTCACTCATTGGCTATTCTCCTAAACCCTGGATGTGTTTGGCACTCTGAGGTTAAAATGAAGTGTCTGTGATTTTCTCGATATTTCAGGTTGCAATGTCAGTTGCCAATATCAACCAGGATTTTTAACTGCTGTTCTAGAGACATATGGCTTCAACAGTATGTGGTTATCAGATCTCTTACAGCTTCAGTAAGGCTCCTGGACATATTGTTCAGCTAATGAGCTTATAAATGTGTTTGTTAATTTAGATATTGGCATTGAATTTATTACTGATGAATTTTTCTTGGGGTAATGGGCCGTATTTTGTAGAGTTCTTTCTCATTTGACAGCACCCTCAGGGTGGAAGATCTTCCTGCTTTCCCACCCTGAGTTTCTACAAGAGTTAGGGAGGGAGAAATGCCTGTATTTTTTTTTAGCTCTTTCTGGCAACCATTGAAGCATAGCTCATATGATTTGTATAAATTTTGTTACACATTCAGACCCAATGATCTTTTTATTAGGAAAGCATCCTTTCATCAGGAAGAAAACACTGCTGGTCTTTATGATAAACACCATGTTTATAGTTTGCTCAGTGTTACTCTTATAATTTGGAGTTCAGGTTAACCAAGCTTCTAGCATACTCTATTTGTTCTCTACCAGTAGCATTTAAAACAAAACCTTTCCCTTACTGCCAGTGCTTCAATTATAATCCAGTATTACTTACTCTCTTTTGGGAAAAAGGAATAGATAATTTACCATGAGACTATATAAAATAATTTACCATGAGCAAGGCGGTAGAAAGCTGCTTTAGTTTCCCTTCATGCCTTCTTGAAGCCCCAGGGAAGAATATCAAAGGTAACAATATGAAATGTTGCTTTCAGAAGCTCATTTACACTGGTCCCGTTTAGCACCATACTGCATTACATAAAGATTGTTTTTAAAAGTTCTTTCCCATTCTGTCTTCTCTTTGTCTCTCCAAAGACTACTATGGTTGTTAATTCTAAAAAAAAATTTCACGGTAGTAAGTCATAAATTATGTTTTATATTTTACTGATAAGATAATAGCATAAAGGTAGTTTGATCATTTACCAAGGCATCTGACAATTTAGAAATATATAAATATGTGATTATATACATATTATGAAGTTATGTAAATAGACAAATTAAGGATACACATGTGCAAACACACATGCACATTTTCTCTTTGTATATTCAATTTTCTATTTGCATATATAAAATAGTTTTCCTGCAACTCTCATACACTTCTAAAATATTTTTTCCAAAATGTATATACTGACTAAATATGGCTTACTCACAACTTACCATTGAATGGATGATTAGTAGAGTTTCTGTAGGCTGATACTTCAGTTTCAATATCCTGTTTTTAAACCAAAGACCTTAACAATACCCTTAAAGTGAAGAAACTTAGAAACACTTTTTGACATTTTCCAAAAATCTTTTATTTATGTTTCTATTTCATTTTTCTCTCTTCTTTACATCTATGTAATGAAATACTGCTTTTGTTAATGTTTTACATTCTAAATGAAAAATATAAAGTTACTTGATTTTGTCTTTGTTGTATGTAAATAGTACAAATAAGAATTTAAAGAGGCCAAATACCAATCAGGTGTATAAAATCAAACCCATATAGTTCAAGTGGTAATTCAGAAATCAAGACCCAGCCTGTCTACTCTGATGAAATTGGCCCACCTCCACTTGACTTTAAACTTAGAATACTAAATCATCTAACTAGGATAGGTGTGTATAATATTAACAATAAATTTTGAAGAATATTAATTCCCTTGAAAAATTATACCCATAAGTAGACATTCCGGTCTGTTTTGTTACTATGAATGCAGTCAAGCTTTTTTTAAAAATGACATATTGTTTATTTGAAAGGTTAGAATTTTCTAGATGTAAAATGATTATATGGTGAAATCATGCCCTCACATTTCTCTAGTCACTTATGTTGGAAATAGAAAGTGCCAAAGTTCTAAATTAATAAAGGAATGTATAAATCCTGGTTTAAGTATCAGAATCACAATTAAATCATGGTAAAAGTCCTTAATAAACTGCATTATTATACTTCCTCCTCAAATTGGGCAACTTTTAAGGCCTCCTTAGTGACAGACAATAAAGCAGGCCTTTGTTATATCACATCAGATTCATTTTAAATGTACCTTGATTAGCATTGTGCTGCTGAGGTTGATTATTGGTATCTCACATCAGAACCCTGCAGTGGATAGAAGAGAAAGGAATGAAGTGATTCACCTAGTAGCCATAAGGCAGTGAGATGAGAGAGTATTGCTGCTCAGTGGTTCTTCTCTGAATTAAATCAGAATAACAAAAAGAAAAAATTAGAGAGAGAAACAGAACGTAACAGAAGTTTAAAGACTTGGTCCTTGAACTTAAGCAGATCTGTATTTGCATCCTGGTTCTGTTCTGTTATGTGACAATTACTTAACCTACTAAAACCTCAGTTTCCTCACCTATAGAATGAGAATAATCATACCTTCCTCTAGGGCTCCTGTGAAGTTTATTAAAAGAGAAAATCTATGAAATGTCTTAGCCTTGTACCTGGTACACAGTAGATGTGCAGTAAACAGTGGCCATTTTTAGTTTTGCCATTCTTCGTGTTGGTGAGCGGTGCCCTTATCTGTCGTGAGGCGGCACCATGTGGACATTTACAATCTCATAATACAAAACCAAGACTAGCAAAGGTTTTGTAAATGTAAAATGGGAATATCCACTATTTAGGATTCAAAGCAAGTGTCTGATCCAGTGAATATAGGATTTTTCCCCCTTTACAATTAAGTTGTTATTCCTAAACTACTGTTATCATCATCATCCATTGCAGACCAGGCGCCCACTTTGGTAGCACTACTCCTGCTGGATATTTCACACCTCTCATGACTTCAACAGTCCCGGGCCTCATGTATAAGGAACTAAGTAAAATAGATCTATTGCACTGGCTTTAGAAATGAAAAGGTAATGTTCTTACATTGATGGGACAGATCGAAACAACTGACTATGATTAACATAAACCAAGTCATATTTGGTGTATTTAGCTTAGAAGTGTTTGGAGGAGGCCAACACTTTATAGTGATCTACAAATGAACAATAACCGTTTCAACACGTGTGTTACAGATTTGTCGCAAACTCAACGGTATTCGTTTCACCTGTTGCAAAAGTGCCAAAGACAGGACTTCGATGTCGGTGACGCTTGAGCAGTGCTCAATCTTGAGAGATGAGCACCAGTTGCACAAGGACTTCTTTATCCGAGCATTGGATTGCATGAGAAGGTATTTATTCCATTATTCCATATGTCTTTACATTTTTTTCTTTTAAGGTCATTTTGAGTTTTTTTTTGTTTTGTTTTTTCAAAAATATCTATTTTACTGGAAGACTAAATATTTAGGAACTTTGCTGTATTTCCGCGGCTTATAGCTCATGAGGCGAGGGATAAAATACTTTTATCTCTACCTGTGCAGTAATTTTATTTCTGTCTGTATTCTTCCACTCATTTTTAGGCAATAAAAGAAAATGCCCATGCACACATTTGATGATATGCATGATTATATATGATATTTCATTATCTCATTAGCTCAAATTTAAGGGCCCTGAACATATAGCACCTGAAGGGCAAATTTTCTTGACATATAAGTAGTTACAAGTATGCACAAAATAAATCCAAGTCATTTTCCAAACACAGCCTTTTCAGATTCAATTAACAGTTGTTCTTCCCCACGGCCTGGGAACGGTCTCTGGGTCAGTAACCTCTTTCCTAAAATCATTTTCGTATCACTCAGCATAAAGATGGAATGACACGGATACTTTAAAATAGAGAATTAACATTGTTACTCTGCCGACATTTAAAATGCTATGCCTGAAGTTATGTTTCTTGATTCATTTCCACAGTAATTAAATCTAAAGTCTAAGCCATAATGGGAAGGAAAAACTGCCTTATTCAAAATGTCTATCAGCAAGGACACACGTTAATTAAAAAGTTAAGCAAAATCATCTCTTTGCTATAAAGACTGGCTCAGAAGCACACCAGGCAATGTGGGACAGGTTCCAGGTGTCCAGAAATGAATGTCATGTGATGCACTAGAGAGGGCATCTTCTTACTGGCATGCCATTAGCTTGCACTTTTAATGGCTGCAGTCTTTCAGTGGAGACGTCGACGTTTGCCTGCGCTTGTTCCATGCCTGTATGTTTTCTCACTAATGAGAGGTTTCTGAAGTCCTCTATTTTATCCCATTTCATGTCTCTTGGCATTTTCATTGTTCAGTGGAGTTCTATCATAATTTTTTGATAAGTTTATGAGGATGTCTTGGAGGCCTGACATGAACATCTCAGCCATATAAAACACATTCAATTGATATAAAAAACTTCTTTCAAAAATAATCTCTCAGCGCTAACAAAGTAAATGCAGAATCTGAGTATAAAATCTTCTAATGTGCAGAAAAAGAATTCAAATGTCAATATGGATACAAATACAAATGTGTTTGGTGAGGAAAGCAAGAGTGCATGGTATTATAGGCTAGGTGCACCATGGGACTAAAACAATTTATCTAACTAATATTCTGGAAGGTGAGATTGGTGCCTGTTTATTTAAGGTAGAGAGAGGAGACCACCATTAAATTAGAAAGATAATCCTCCAGACAGGTAAATAAGGGACATATCTGTCCTACATATGTTAAACTATAAAATGACATATTTCGGTATTGCATAAGGTTATGTGGAATTGATGTTATATATGCAACACATTTGCTTATGACAACATTTACGTCTTGTTTTTGAGTTGTTAAAATAAGGCATTAGAAATTTAATCTAAAAACACTAAAAGTCTTAACTTCCATATCCTGGCTACTCTGTTGATTGCTGTGCATGTAAGAAAATAAGATGTATGCTTTTTGTAATGACTGCTTTCATTTCCCTCCTTGGGTATTCTGTCTTATAACACAAGCTCATAGGTTTATAAACTCAGGCAACATAGCAGAGTAGGTAGGAGCATGGGGCTTGGGAGTAAGAAGAGTTTGAATCCAGGCCATGTGCTACACAATGCACACAAGCAAGTTAATCTCTGACTGCCTCTTAGTTCTTTAAGCAAGTTAGACAACCCCTTGGGACCTCAATTTCCTCATCTGTAAAACAGACATAATAATAGTAGCCACTTTTTATGAGTGTCATGAGGATTAAATGAATTGATATGTATAAAGTGATAAGAACAATGTTTGGCACATGATAATCACTATATAACATTTATTAAGTAAATAAAAAATAAATATCGAGGGTCATGATGTTAACATTCTGATCTTCCAGATACAATAAAATTTAGCTATTTATGATCCTTACGGTTTTTTTTGATTTCAAAATACTATGAGGGTACAAACGTTGAGGTTACATAAATTACCTTTGCACCGCCCAAGTCAGAGCTACAAGCATGGCCATCCCTAGACATTGCCTACTGCACCCATTAGGTGTGAATTTACCCATCCCTTTCTCTCTGCTCCCTGATCTTATAGTTTTATGTTTGTAAATACATTATGACATAAGTTGGACTCTAATACTGCATATTAAAATAAAGTGTGCTGGCAAGTATTATAAATAAGGTTTCAAATATAATTTTTCACCCATTTAAGAAAATAAGCTCTTTAAATAGTGCTTTAAAAATGTGCTTGTGTTTACAAATGCCATACTAGTTATGAAAGCATTGAATTCATTAAAGCAAGCTTGAATTGGCTTTTTTATAAACACTTTTTGATGTTAATATGTATCATTTGTATGTCCTTACAAATAATCGTAAAATTTAAGAATCAAGACATCACCTTAGAAATTTTACCTTATAAATAATCAAACTGAGCTCTATAGGGTGTTTTGTGAGAGCCTACTCAGGTAGGAAATACTAGAGCCAGCACTAGAACGTAGGTCTCCCAGTTATATTTTAACGGCATTTTTTGTGCCAAATAAAATACTGTCAAAATTATTTCTATTTGCTTCAAACCTATTAGTTAAAATATTAAAATAAATCATATAAAAATATATACTTTTAGAAGTTCAAGACTGTTCGCAAAACCAGAGTGGTCTGCCCAAATCCTGGCACCTTGAAGAGTCCACTGTAGCTCTAGAATACAAACTCTTTAATTTCAACCTTATCTATCATATTAACCGTTATAACCAGGCTGTGAAGCACAGTGTCTGGTCCAGGGTTAAATAAATATAAATAGTGGTTGAATAAATGAATAAAAATCTACATAGGAATTCATTCTGTTGCCTTCTGCTTTTCAGAACCATGTAGCAACTTCATTTTTTAAAATTATATTTGAAGTTATGTCCTGAGACAGTGATTTGTAGCCCACGCACCAGTGTATGTTAGTGGTCAGTCAGGGATGGTCAGAGGGTGTGCTCAAATAATTCAGTTTGGTAAGGTTTCCAGGCTCTGCTGATGTGTGTGTTTGTGGGTTGGGGTGCACATTCAAAGTTCAGGTCCCATTTGTTTATTTTTGTTGTTGCTGTGATTGGTCTGGGGGATGGGCAC